TGAGACCACTCTCACTATCACGCGATTTGTCCTTCATGGTTAGGTGATTCGGTAAACTGCGTATTTATATGTGGATACTTCGCACATGACAACGAATGCCCTTCGACTTGAAAAGTGGATTTCAAAATAATATGTTTGTTATTGTAGCTCAACATCTGCAAAGATTACACCACTCATGATGGCTGTACGAAGGAGAAATGTGAATCCTTGCATATTTGCGCAAAATATATTCGCGACCTTTGCAATGATACGAGATGTGAATTCGGTCATGAAATCCAAACGGATCACAACCTTTCCATAATCAAGGTACTTGTTCCCGGAAAATATGATCAACAAAAGGTGAAAAGCCTGCTGAAAGCAGGCATTGTGACTCCTGATATATGTGAGGCATACAATCTCGGAGATCATTGCGAAAGTCCGAATCAATGCCTCAAGATGCACCTGTGCGCTGGTTACATAATGGGAACTTGCAAAAGAGCTGAAGAATGCAATCTGAATCACAATATATTGGACGGCCAGTGTTCGGCATTGCTGGAAAAAGGATCCGTTAGCACGCAACAAACCCCTCGAGACTTGAGAATATACTTGAAAAATAATTGTACCAATGCAGAGGATATCACGACGCGGAAAAAACCAGAAAAAGCCAGAGAACATGGTAATCTGGATGAAGAGAGCATTGTGGGGTTGACAAGGACTGAATCTTTAAGATTTCATCAAGATGGGGCAGGTATTGTCGATTCGAATTGCACAATGAATCTGGAGCAAAAGAAGGTAAGTCCTTCACGTCTTCCTTCTTCAATTTTCGAAGGTTTCAATTTTCAATCATTGAGAAACATGCATTCATTTATTGCATATTGAATTTTGTTCTGTTAATAGACTAAAAATTATTCGTTTTCTTCTTGAATTATGCATTTCACTTATATAATCAGAAAGACTTCCGCAGAGGTCAATGATGAAATATGATGGTGCTTCAGGTATGGAAAGGACTGATTTCATGGACACCTTCAGCACAAGACGAAGCATGAACGGCCATCTGCAATATATAATTGCTATTTTTTAAATCCATATTGTTTGGAAGGTATGGCCCACATTTATACCTGAGTGAAAACTGTAGATTGCCTTAAAAGTTTGAAATATTTCCTTTTTTCCCATCTACTGTACATAAAATCAAAGATGCTGAATGGTTCAGTTTTCCAAACCTGAGGTTAAAAATAAGGCGTCTGCGATTCTGGCCGCTAACTAGGCCAAGCGAAAACCGTTTCTTTTTTTGTTTGTGCGTGTGACAGACAGCTCAACAGACGTAACGCTTAGAGTAATGAACTTGGAGTTTTGGTCAGAACGCTTCCTGACCATCCGACGATGTGCCTTTGAGAAACAAAATTTGTAATTTGGCCATAAGAATGGGAGAGGGGGTATTTTTCATTGGAAATCGTAGACCAGATCTCGTTTCGCCAAATTTCGGATGAACTTGGAAACGAGAGTTAACGTGGTTCTTAAAAGGAAATGCTGGCATCGTTCACTGCAGTGCCTCTCGCCTGCTGGCATAAATCCAAGGATTTCAAGGGTCCATGATGAAATGATTTCTCAGCTCGTCGTCACATGCGTTCGCACGGGCTTTTGCAAAGAAACCCATCACACAAATTTCCTAGTTTATTTCCATAGCTCTAAATGCAGATTTTCAGAATTGCACGAATAACCTCCTTTACTTGAAGACATCAATCCCAAGAAATATGGCCCCAGGATATGCATCCAAAAGGTTATATATGTTTTAGTTCATTGTCTAAACGGTACCACCTGACCCAGGTTGTGAAACCTGGGTCAGGTGGTACCGTTTAGACAATGACAATGACAATGTAATGTTTAGACAATGTTCCATGTCTCTCCATTGAGCCCAAGCAAATATATTTGAAATCATCTCCCCCATAATTGGGTACCCGCAGAGCATGTACCTCCAATGTCTGATTTTCTTAAACTCTACATCGCAATAGCTAATTGTGTAACAAGTTTCCGATATTTATAGCTATACTAGCGAGTTTGTTTGCCCTTCGGGCAAACAAATAGTCGCGTCTTCGGCGCTCCATTACCTTGGATTGTGATTAATTCATTTATTCTATGCGAGAAGGCAAACACGTATATGAAGTACGTTCCATTGAAATACGTGACTTATGGGGACGATAATCTTGATTTTTTTTTAATCAAAAACCATTATATCTCTGATTTCTAGTGTCCCTAACTTGAAATCTTTCCTTGCGTCCCTTTTTGTAACGGTGGAGAATACATTTTCAAATACTTTCCTCCTACAATCCACGCCAAGGAAACATTTCAAAAGTAAGATTTTTCCTGTACTCAGCCATCAAACAGGTACTTCTGAGGGAAATTTAAATGTTCTGTCTCTGTAAAAGTGCACTGATGGGTTTTAACGAAAATTTTTTTCTTTCGGAATGTAGGCTCAGGGAACTCCATGCCATCCAGTTTCAGCCTTATACCTTTCCCCTTTTTGATGGCGGGAAAAATGCATTTGGAAAAGCGACCCATCCAAAAGCTGTGCTCTGGGGAGACGAACAACAAAAGTTGAATTTTTCCTTAAATCAACATCACGTCCGTTATGCGTGCGCCAGCTACTTTTCTATTTCTGCCCGATTCAGTAGGATATGAAAAGTTATTTTAAAATGTTACGTCATCATTAAAAAATATGAACCCCAAAAATATTTTCGAAATTTGACATATGACTTTTGAGCTCAGTGGGTCAGTGGTCACGTTCGTGCCAACTTTCAGCTGAATGAATGAAGCAAAACGAACTATTTGAAATATTGTTGTTAAATGTTGGATGCATGCCTCAGGGGCATATTTTTTGGGGTTGATGGCTTCAAGTAATTTTTTGTCTTAACGAATCGGGTAGAAATGGAAAGATGAAACGTGGTGTATATCTACCGACGTGTTCGTGACCTGTTCAAATAATTGTTTTCCTCCTGACGAATTTGATCAGAAACATGAAGGTGAACCTTGGATCATCCATAACTTGGGTGATGAATTCAGAATAAATCAACTTTTGCGGTGATTTTGACCAAATCACCGATGACACCGATCCAGCCAAAAGCTGAGCTTTTGGCTGGATCGGCCTTTCCAAATAAATGTTTGCACAAGCGGAAAGAGGAAACGGATAAGGCTGAAATTTGGTAGTCACGTAGTTTTCAGAGAAAATATTGCAGTAAAATAATGTCAATTTGCAGGTGAGATCCGTTAGGGCCCTTTTACATGCCAAATACGAATTATCCAGAATATTCTTTCATTCGAAGAAAGAGAACTGACGTAAGTTCAATCATGAGGCATAAATTCCTGTTCGATTGCTAAGTGCAAATCCGAATTTTCAATTAAGTCCCCGAACGCCAGATTATAAAGAGATTTGAAGTTAGGCATGCAATAAATAATCGGAGTAATTATTCGACAAAAATATCGGTTTGTCCTCTCATTTCACATATTTCGACAGGCACATAATTTCCCGACGTTTTTTCCACTGCAAAAATGAATTAATGAATCAGTAATCTGGAAAATGAGTGCCGAAGGCGCGACCATGGTCGCAATGGTCTATATGTATATACAGTACATGGTGGGTAAAAAAAAAACAAAGCTATAACTTTTGTTGTGTTGTCACTCTCTTTGTAAGTGGCCGATTTTTATTACAACTGGTTAGGCTCATGAGGTAACGCAATTGTAGTTTGTATACCAAATTTCTTCTGTGTCCTTGAAACTATAGTAATTGTAATTATTTTCTATTGACCAACAACAAAATGTGCAGTCGAAAAGATTGATACAACGTTGAGACCGGGATGAAAGGAGGTCCAATTCAAAGACCTTCCATCCTTGCTTGATGCAACAAAATAAGATTGGGAGGCATTGCCTCAAATGTTTATTCGCCCAACCATTGATCTGCGTTGTCCCAGACTATAGGCTGGCGTCGAACATAATGAGGGCAAATTGGGCACCTTTTCTATTGAAATGTACGTACCAAAGCCAAATTATGTGCTGTCGTGATAGGCATATGTTGTTCTCCTTGTTTGCTTGCTTGTTTCCATCAATTGTGAGAATTTTTTTAGGTCAAAGGAAAAATGAACACTTACTTCTTTGGTGATGAAACGTTTATATGGCTTTCTCATAGTTATTGGAATTGTTCTTTGAAACGTGACACACAAATCCTAATTGAGTGATCCAACAGGTATACCCAATGTCATCAAAATCGACTGCATGCAATCAGATTGACAATTTACCAAAAGCGATGGCTTTGTTTCTTTTTGGCCCACCCCAGAGATATTGAAAAATGTACATTTTTCGTAAAGAAAACCATCATTATTCATAAGTAATCAGTAATCCAGTTCTTGTCTAACTGCATTCTTTGAAAAAGCAAGTTGGTCTAGTTATCTTCAACGGAAAACACATCATGTGCATCTGCACCCCCCTCAGAACTTTCCTAGTTGCTAACATTTCTTTAATTTAAGTTGATTTTTAAGCAATCTCCACTGTGCCCTACCCATGGGATGCTATATAAAAATTCAGAGTGCGCCTGGTGTGCCACAAATGAATATTTGAAACAATCCCCATTTCAAAAACGTTCCAGGTATTCAGACCTATGTGGCACTCGAAATGAAATTATGAATATCCAGGTTTCAAATATTTGCTAATATGAAATGATTTTTAATGTCATGCAATCTTAGGTAGCAAAAGAACTGTTGTCGACTTATGTTTTGAAATGTTATTCATGATATTATTTCTAGTTCCATACTCTGTGTATAGGATAATGTATGCATCAAATTTTCTACATGAAAAAATTCAGAGTAGTTTCGCTTTCATGAGATGATGTTATACATGGGCGGGCATCAAATTCTTATTTGCAATTCCACTGCTCCACTCCACACGTTTTAAATTTATTGAAAAGTTGTTACCGATTCTCCCGTATTGTACCTATTATGCAATCAATATCTTCACGATAAGGAATGTCTATATGAGTTTTACTTTTATCGGTTAAGGGGATTCTGAGAGAGGACCAGGAGTATTCTCTGGCTCAAGAAATGAAGAAATCCTGCTACACAAAAGATGGATACATATATCAATTACAAGCAAGACAAATGAAATCAGACTTGCAGAATCGAGTGCAAAAGCAAGAGATCGGCCACACAATACCAGGAGAGGGAGTAGGAAAGGTTCTCATGCTCGTCGGTGCCACTGGGGCAGGTATGGTCAATGTAACACTAGTTTGAATTTAGACTAACCCATTAGCAAAATTTGCTATGGAAACTGTCCTTCCCGCTTGAAAAGGAAAGAGTACCCTCATCCACGGAATGGTGAATTACGCATACGGGGTCAAGTGGAACGACGATTTCCGCTTCAAGTTGACTGGAGAAGATGATAGAATAGTGAAGTCCGAAGTCCACAGTCAGACCAACTGGATCTCAGCCTACGTCCTAACAAAACAAAAAGGAATGGCTTTTCCCTACACCTTGACAGTCATCGATACTCCAGGATTTGGCAATACTGAAGGGATAAAAAAAGATGATGAAGTGAAAAATCTGATTCTTGAGTTTTTCTCTCACGACGGACACTTTGGAATAGATCAACTTCACGGCATTGGATTCGTTGTCCCAGCGTCCGGAGTGAGGCTCACACCCATGCAGGCGTATATATTTGACTGTGTAATGTCTGTGTTTGGAAACGATGTCAAGGAAATCATTTTCCTGTTGGCCACATTTGCTGACAACACAGCGCCACCTGTACTAAATGCAGTAAAGGAAGCAAAGATGCCATGCCGACAAATGTTCAAATTCAACAACTCTGCTTTGTTCGTCAACTCCAAGGATATTGAAACCAAGGAGTTTGATCATGCCTACTGGAAAATGGGCACTAAGAGCTTTTCAGATTTTTTTAAAAGCTTTCAAGAGACTGAACCGGTGAGTCTAACACTGACAAAGGAAGTTTTGCGAGAGAGGCGACAGTTGCAGGTAGCATTCCAGGACCTCAAATTACAACTAGATGCAGGTGAGATTTCATGTGGGTATGCCTACATTTCTTATTTATGTTCTTTTTGTAAATATGGATTTCTGTCTTCAGCATTGGAGCGACTTGACACTTTGAGAGATGTTCATGCAGCAGTGAGACAACATGGAGGACAGCAATTCCAAGCAAATGCAAGCGATTTGTCCTCGGAAACTTCAGAAACGGAAGCAGACGATGAGGACGATGAAGCTAGAGGTAGATATTTGCATACAAATCCAAAGATTTCCGCGAATGATAAACGCCTCCTGAAGAGGTTGGCAAAAGATTTCAACCGCGAGATGGAAAAAGTTCACCAGCTGACCAAGATATACCATGAAAGATTGTATAGGCTGGATCAAATTGCACTGAAACCTGACCCTCTGGGAGTTTCGGAATTAGTCGACAAGCTGATTCAGGAGGAAAGGTTTGAGAAACGACTTGGGTTTAATCAGAGAATCCAATATCTTCAAGAGGCTCAAACTAAAGCTGATTTCGTAAATTTTTTACAAGAATTCGATCCATCAAAGCCATACGAAGAGATTGATATGACTGACTTTGATCAAGCCCATCGAAACATAGAATCACCCAATGCCCTCATCCAAAAGCTCCAAAGTCTGTATGGTCGGGGAAATGTACCATAGACTTCCACTGATAGCAATGCATATAGTCAGGGCCTTATTCATTAAGAATCATCAGTGTTGCTTTTTTGTAAATAATAGTTTCAAACCAATTTCTCTCCTTATATTGATCTTAAATATTCGATTGGTTTACATTGAAACTTTTCCAGCACGCTAGCGCAATTTGCCACAGCCCGAGCCCATCAGAAAGTGTGTGCACGTCCTAAATGGCGCAGATTCGATCGTAGTAACTCCATGTTCTATGCACAAAATACTGCCAATCACATATTGTTGCATCGTTTGCTGAGTAGAAAAGCTGAATCGGGGATCAATTTGTCTTATAGAGCCACGAGCATGGATATGTACCCGTCATTTGCCTGAGCCCGGACGATTGAGCTCTCTATGCCATTCTCTTAACATCCGCGGGTCACGTTCTAAGATGTTTCCCCGTTTCCTCGGTGAATTTTTCGTCTCTGTATATTTTCGCAAACGTTTATTCTTGTGCTGTATAGCAATGGGACTGGGATACTCTCCTATTTTGTCCCATAGAGCATGAACAATGATCTATGGGACAATAAACAATGCTGTCCACATGCTTCACTCAAAGCAGTTCAGGTTATCGTCAGTTTTCAGTAGACTGTAATCACTCAACCACCTTATAGTCCGGACATCGCGCCCTCAGACTACCATCTTTATGGTCCGATGAAGAACCTTCAGAGTGTACACTTTCGGAATTGAAGATCTCCAAAACGCTGGAAAACGGTGGTTTCATGAACAAAATACAGCAGGAAGCAGTATACATTTACTGTCCGCCAGATAGCAAAAGTGGATTGATCTGCACGGGACTATGCAAAGGACTACACCAGGCAATGTAATGTAAGTGAACTAATTTTTATTCTGATCCAACAAGTGGTAAATTTTATTTTTCAAATTTGCGGAAAAATTGCTGGGCACCACTCGTGTTCAGCGTCTGTACGGTATGTCTGCATCGATCTGTGCATGCATGGCGCCTGCTTCTGCCTGGTTCCAGGAGTCAGTCTCGCTCTCTCCCTCTTGCCAGCATTGCACTATCCGTGACGCAATTCCACAAGATTTCGAGTCCCACAAAATAGCTCGAAAGTGTATGATAAACGTCTCATTCCCTGCATTAGCCAGAGATAGCGAGGGCTTCTCTCTTGATACATATAGGCTTTCGATTTCTCATGCACTCTCATCTGTGTAATTATACCCGACGTTTGTCTACCTCTGTCAGCCTTTCCGTCTATAAGTGAAGCACGGATGGGAAAAGTAGGGGGGCGTGCCCCCCCCCACGGCTTCCCCAACGCTAAGCCGGCATCTTCGTCGGAGGTCCCCACAGATTGAATTTCCGATCTTATCGGCCCGATTTGAATCATGGCCCGCACACGACCTGAACTTCGATCACTGACAGAACTTTGGGGACCCATTCCACAGATCATGTCACGCAGTTGGGGTCGGCCCGAAGGCCACTTAGACCTCTAAGCTTCATAAATCATTGGCTCTGATTTCCCCTCATTCTCGACCGAAAGTCGATTGCAAACTGAACTACACGCCTAATCCAAGTGTTGAGTCAGTTCAATCGAGGCGGCACCTATCTCTTGCTGAGGTTTACGTTGCTTTACTCACGGTTTACGGAGGGATCCTCGATCATTCATCCCACTCACCTTGATGCTCCTAATTCAAATGGTGCACCTCACTTGAACCCTTACAAAACGTTACCCCCTCATTCACCTATATTTAACCGCTTTTTCACCTAATCTTTACCTGAGGGGTCTTCTGACCTGTTGAGAGAGGGGAAAAACGGGGGAAAAGTGGGGGATCACCGATTTTGATCTGAAGCTCAGGGGAAACGACTCCGCAAGCAGGATCTTGAAAAGAGATAAGACTGAAAAGTAAAATTGCGGTTAACCCAGGGGTTCGTTCCCCCTCACACCTTCACGCTCGTCTTTGTTATCCTTGTGAGACGTGCTGGAAATACTTTGTTCTCCATATCGCTCGGTAGCCGTCATGACTGCAAGTTAGTTTCGGTTAGTGTCAGGGGTTCGGTTCTTTCTCAAAAATATCATTTGTGTTGTGATTTGACTATGACGTTAGGCTAAGCTTTTTATCTCAGTGTCTGTGAACTTTCGACAACTTAACTCGAAATAGTCTAGTGTGAAAGTGAATTCACAATTCTGAGACTTATGATCAGACCGACAAGTCGTGAGCTTAGAAATATATGTTGCCGACTATTTAACTACGTGATTCTCTTATGTAAGTCATGCTTTTATTCTAATATCACAGCACCCATATGGGTGTTGTGATTAACATATTTTAATCATAGCCTCTGTGCTAATGTTACACCTATCATATGAAATGATAAGTACATTAGTATTCTTGAAATAAGAGGTAAGTCCGAGGTAAAGGATATTCTGTAGGTAACAAAAGGTAAATGACGGGTAAAAGAGAGGTAAATTGGGGTAGAGGTGAAACACTGAGGTAAAACTGCGGTAAAATGTAGGTAAAAACGGTAAAACATAGGTAAAAGAGCGGTAAATGAGAGGGGAACGGTAACATTTTTTTAAAGGGAATGCCAAGGGCCATAATCCGTAGGAAATAGGCACATGGACAAATTGCGGGACCTTTAATGGTGGATATTGTGTATTATATATCGCTTAGTAATTCGAACTTTGAGTGTCATTTGAAGACTATGGGACTATGGAACAAGTGGGTCACCCAGTACGAGGTGAACTAAAAAAGACCATGGCCTTTTTTAATGTGCTGCATTTCTACTAATCCAGATGTTTTCTGAATAAAGGGATGCCCTTTTTCCATATCTGTGTCTATGCGCTACTTTAGGTGACTTGTCATAGGAAATGGTGGTCAGTATGTAGTTAATATGCTCATTCAGCAAAGGAGAAACACCTTTTTCTATGCTTCCACTGTATGGGAAGCCAACTGCCTGACAATTTCAATAGGGCTGCCTCCATGGATATCCCAATAGCACCTGCATCGCCGAACGATTTTGGCCGAATAGTTCCATTCTTTCGAACTAAAGTGAGAATGAGGAAGACAAAAGGCCGAGGGAGGGGGAAGTGGAAGAAAGAGTCACCAAAGTTTTTGGAAGGATGCAGGACCTTGTTGATATCCATGATAAAGGAGGATGCCAAAAACCACCCCCGCGTTACAAACCATCACAGGCGTCGATCGATAGATCTTGATGAGTGGATGAAAGTTGTCATTGGGCATACATCTGTCAGAGAGTGCGATCACTGAGCGATAGGTCATCAAAGTTCAAAACTTCGGTCGCTCTAATTCTTTTGCAGCGCTGACAAATGTACAAATAAAAATGTTGTTTTAATGGTATGTGCTACTAGGGAGTCCGGTCCTGATACCTAGGAGTTATGCGGTCGCTAGGTGCCATACACTCATAGTGGCAATCAAACGAAAACCCATCTAGTTTCGTCGTATTTTAGATTGACTTTTTTTTACTTTTAAATTTATTTTCTTAAACTTTACGTTAATTCAGAGTCCAGGCTCTTCCGTATTTTTACATTTTCTTTTCTGTTGAGGTATGCACGAATGCTGACAAACCGACTGAGCTCTTTAGCATCCATGCAGCTTGGGTTAGAAACCTGGAAATACTGTTAGAAGCAAATGAGCAACAATTACACTTTCGGGCCTACTGCTTACAAATTTGATTTTTAAAATGATTTTCTAATGGATCTAGGATGTGAGTAAAGCTTGCCAGATTTTTTCCGCCGAAAAGGAAAACATCATGCATTAAAGGGTTAACAAACGTTGCAAAATAATTATTGCAATTTTGAACATTGATGACCTATAACTCAATGATTGCACTGTCTGACAGATTCATGCCCATTGACAACTTTGATGTACTCATCAAGATCTATCGATACTTGTTTTGGTATGTAATGCGAGGGGCAATGGTCCCATAGACAGCTGGTAACCTCCTTTTCATATTCCGATGATTAATAGGTTGATAACGGATCATTAATTAGAAATGTGTGATTGGGAAGTGCCCTCAATATTCAAGTTTGTATAGTCATTCTTTGAGGAAGCGTTGATTTTAAATTAGTATATGTATTTACTGGAAAGTCATGAATTTTAATTAGAAAAAAGAGGTGTAACACTGGCTTGAAAAAGTTTCAACAGCGTGGATATGGAGAAAACGCTTAAAGAGAAAGATAGAGAAAGTCATGAACGCTTTCTGCATGCAATGTGAGAAAAAGAAATTAGTTAAAATTCCAAGTTCAATATGTAAAAGGTATAAGGAACTATTTAACTGAAAACTGAGTTTTGAACGGCTCCATATTATCCTATGTCCTAGCTTTTTTTGCCGTTAATCTCGAATTGCATATTTTGCACATGCGCATATTTCTCAGAGAACTTCTCAATTAAGGCGTGACGAAGAAAAATAGAGAATGAATACTACTACTTTTTCTGAAAATTTTAATTAAATTTCAATGATGAATGTCAAATATTTTTCACGAAATTTGTTTTTCAAAGCTATGTAAAATATGGCAGTAGTGCGGGGATTATTTATTTAACCTGAAAAGATAAAACCCATTCCCGAGTGACCCCGATGACAGGGATTTTACAATATAGGGTGAGCCTGAAATGATGACCCTCTTTTTAAGAAGCTATTTCATTGGAATTGGCACATAATGTGCACCAAATAATGTGCGCTAGGTTCCTCACTTTCTCATTGACATGTCCATGTCAAAGAGAAAGTGAGGAAGTGATTGAAGTCGACCACTTCATTTTAGGGTTACTTGGCTAATGGCACATTACACTTCCCCTCCAACTAAACATGCGTGCTGCTGCAACTGAAATTCAATTTTCTCGATTGATGTTCACTGTAGGCAGCGAAACACTTCCACGGGTGCAGGGTGAATGATCTGAGCTCTCCCTGCGTTTATCAGACGATTGTATTTTTGAAAATTTGGTGAGCGAACTAGTTGGACAACAGCATAGGTGTAAAGGCCGGTGGCCTGTTGAAGGAGGAG